CAACAAGACATCTGAAAATTTAATGTAATATTATGACATGCCATGTATAGAGTGCCCCAAAATATTAAAAGGACACATTCATTCACACTTATCAGCTCTGCCTTGCTAATTTTAAGTCTTCAATCAATGAGGTAATTTATCCCTCTCTAAAGAGGCTACTCTTATAAGAAATTTTTAGAATCATAGGATCATATGATCATCTAGGTTGGAAAAGACCATTAAGATCATAGAGTCCAGCCATTAACCCAGTACTGTCAAGTCTACCACCAAACTGTGTCACTAAGCACCACATCTACATTTCCTTTATACCTCCAGGAATAGTGACTCCACTACTTCCCTGGGCAGCCTGTTCCAATATTTGACTACCCTTTCCCTGAAAGAAGCCTTTCAAATATCCAATATAAACCTCCCTCAGTGCAACTTGAAGCCATTTAATCTCATACTATGGTTCAGTGTTCAGAGAGGGAAGGACAATAAGGTGATTCTTAATGAAACGTGGATGTACTTCATTCAGCAGTTGAACTTTGAACAAAACAAACCAGAAGGTTGAAAAAGGTGGGCAGGAAACTTAAAGAAGTGCCAAGTTGGCTTTGAGATGTGACTTAAAATGGAGTAATGGCACCACAGCTGATCAGACCGCTGTGAAGTACTGCCTTGTGTTGGAGAACCCCAAGAGACTTCTGGCTAAAGCAGACAAAGACAGGGCAGAACATTTTCATCAAAATGCTTGCAGTTTATTATGCTTTAAAGAGAAATCTCCTATTTTGCTGTTGGGCATACAAGCCTTGCAAACAAACAAAATCAGATCAAACGTTAGATCACTCTTCACTTGCTCCCAAACAGACTCTTAAAATCTGCTGATAAACATCAAAGGAGAAACTGATTTATTTTTTGCTCAAGTAGAGTGTCTGGAGCTTGTGTTTTGCTAAGGAGTCTCAACTGAAGCATAGCAAATTGTGAGGAAATGATACCTCTTTTACGTGGCACTGATTATTTGTGTCTGTGTGTGTATACATGCTACTCCTGCTCTCTGTCAGCTGATTTGAGGGTGTTCTGTGAGCCCCTTCATCTGCCTTATAAAACAGAAAAACCCTATTTGAGCTGAAAGAAGGATTAGATTATGTCTTTCCCCTGGCAAGTCTGTCAGCAACAGCGGCATAAAGGTAGGAATACAAACCCAGGAATGTCTGTTTTCTTCCAAAAAAACATTGTGGAAGTATGAAAAAAAATGTAAAGTTGGGAAAAGGAAAAAAAAACAATGAGAAAGCTTGTATTACACCGCTGTCTGTCCATTATCGGTTCCCGTAGACACAGATCTGACAGACTAGACAAGGCCCTGTGAGGAGACTAAATAAATAGTGAGAGTCACAACAGTGGGTCCTTTATTTGCAGAACAAAGCTATGAAATGATGGAGTCCTGGCTTCCTTGCATGGTTAAACTGTTTTAAAGATTTTTTTTCTTGATGTAGGTAAACAGTCTCATCTAATGGTGACATTAATAAAGTAGGTATGTTAAGGGCTGGACACTATATTGACAAAACCAAGACTGCAGGGCTGGAATCCTACTACCAGAAAGATGAAATCATTTCCATGGTAACACTGAATAAATTGTTCCATGAAAAAAGAAAGAGGAAAGGATTGTGGCTCAAACTAGAACTGCTCAATCCAACTCCTAAGTGAAAAACAAAACAAAACAACAACATTTTCAGCAGGAGAAGACAGAAATATAGCATACGCAAAGTGTCTTAATAACCTTCCTCCAGAAAACTTACTACTTTCCTGTGCCTGTAATAGCCAAGTTTTCTTTTTTTGAGACTTCTTGAGTCTTTGGGTACATCAGTAATCTTTCATCTTCTTCTTCTATTATATAATATTTGAGAAGGTAGGTTTTGGGGGTTTTTTAGGGTGGATGGCAGGGATGTTTAAAGGAATATCCCAGGCTGGGACCCTAAGTAGAGTATAGGTCATATCTCATTGGCTTTAAAATGACAGCCATCCAAAACAAACAACTTATGACACTAGCACTGACCCACTGCAGTGGTCACTTCAGCTGCCTCTGAATTAATTTCAGCTATCAGTGTTCAGCACTGCCATAACGAGGAGCAAGTGGAGAAAAAAAATGCTAATGTGGCCTTTTAAGAGATGAACTTTCACTTAGATCCACAAAACACGTTTTTGTCCTGCTGATCTGTTCTTATTGTCTCTCAAAAGTAATGTCTTTGGGTCAGGAACAGTCAAGTGTTTTCCCACATATGTTATCAGCATGAATTAAAAGAAAAGACTAAAAGAAAAGGAAAAAATAGTTTAAACTTTCTAAATACCTTTTACATACTGAATATGTTCAAATATGGTGGGGGGAGAGAAAAATGAAAGGCAAGGAATGTATAATTTCTTCTGCCAAAGTACATTATTTTGTCCTAAAACCTGTGTTCTCACATATAGCTAAATAGTAACTTCATAAATAGTTTTCTTTCCTCAGGTGTGTCTGACCTGGCCTGGATTTTCAAATGAGTTCATGTGACAGCAGCACTGCCGTGGTGCCACATGGTACCTCATAGCCTGCCATCCTGGATGGATAAATCTCTTTGTGTACGATGGGAACAGTTCATACAGGTTTAGTGACCACACAATATTTGTTTTAGGTGAAAGCCATGATTTCTGAGTTGTTTGCACTGTCTAATCCTCCATTCTGCATCCTTTCCCTTGTTGTGCTCTGGCTGAGCACATCTTAGCACTGCAATGACCGTGCTGTCACTGAATTTTATGTTCCTTTGGGGAAGCTTTGTGTGTTCACTAGGATACTGTAGCCTGCATTGTATATTTGGTCTTCAGTTTGCTTTTATGTGAATGCCGTTGCTTTGTCTTACCAACCATTTATTTTTAATTAGTATTACATTATTTTGTAGTTCTTCCTATGAGTCACTGCTTGTTTTCGCGGTATGGTACATTTTCACTTGGCTTTTCTTGTCTGCAAACTTTGATATAATGATTTCCCTAGCCATAGCTATCACAAATGACTCCATATATTGAGTAACGACCATTATAAGTTGGGGTTTTTTCCCCCAAAATCTTCCTTTAATTATAATTTCCTGGTTTGTATTTGTGCATTTTGCACATACTTGGTGCTATCTTTCCTTGTAAATTTCTGATCTTTTCTACTTAGAGTGTTATTTTTCTCTACATCTGTAAGAGAGTTTATTCACTAGGTTTGTTCATATCTGTGGCCTTAGAGAGTTCTCCATACTTTCACATATAAACTCTTTGTCCCTTGTTCCCAGTCCCTTATGAAGTATTTAATCTCCCAAGGTCTAGATGCTGCACGAATTGGTGGCTAGTGTGGTTTGATAATGGAAGGATATAGCGTTTCCATAGATCCTCGATTACATATGTCAATGCAATCAAGCACTGGGTCCTTACTCTGCTGTCCATATAATGCAATGTGGGTAGAGCATCTGACAGTGCAGTTGATCTCACTCTGTTTCCTTCTTTTCTCCTGACCTCTTTCCATTTCCATTTGTATGCATGTGAAATTGTGTACAATTTCTAACTATATCCCTATTTGGGGTCATCTAATCAGGATACACCAGCATAATAATTATTTATCTTTCCTTTGTTTTTTTGCATTTGTCTACATTTTCCCCCCCATTCTCTTCAGCCTCTGATTGCAGATCTTGAAAATCCAGATAAATTGCTGTTTCTGAAATAATTTTCAGGATTTTAATTCTTCAAGTGCAGAAAGAGTTCAAGAAGCATTGACACAATACTCTTGGGCACATGGCGTGACTCTTGGGGAGGGTTCTGTGCAGCACCAGGAGATGGACTCAGTGATCTTTGTGGGTCCCTTCCAAGTCAGCATATTCTGTGATTCTGTGATTCTGTGAAAGATATACAACATTTAGCCCTTGTGCAACACTCTAGATGTGTTTTCACAGTAAGCAGCTGCTGAAAGCACTTACTGTTCAGTGGGCTAAATTAAAACACGAACCACAAACACCTTGGCAAACCTTGAGATCCATAAACCTGACATCAACTCGTAGCAGTCAAGTGCTCTTGAATCTTTCTTGCTAGAGTTAATGTAACTATAGCAAACATTAGCCTTGTCCATAAAGCATGTAAGCCTAGGTACAGCCTCTCTCTAAAAGATTTATGCTATATCTTTAGAGGCAGAAAGCTTCTGAAATGGCTGCACAAATGTCAGCCTGGGTCTGACTTCACAGACCTGCATACAGACTTTCACAGTTCAGAAATTAGTGCTTTAGAGCATAGGCCCCCTGCTGTGGAGGAGTGGAGAAGCTAAGAGTACTATCCTCTTTCACGGGTTACAAGTGGGAGGAAGTGCTTCACAGCATACAGCATTACCTTTTTAAAAGGCATTTTGTTTCATCAAACAATTAATTTTTTAAGAATAACTTGATTCCCTACTCAGAGGTTTACCTTAAAATTATGAAACTATTTTGATGAGGATATACATTCCTTGTTGGAGTTCAAGTTAAAAATAAAACCTCAGCCTTCAGTTAACTTCTCAAATTATTAAATTATTTAACATATTGTTTGAAGCTACTGCACTGTAGTGCAAGGGTCAATAATTGGAATGGGCTGCCCAGGGAGGTGGTGGATTCATCATCCCTGAAGATATTTAAGAAGAGACTGGATGTGGCACTTACTGACGTGGTCTAGTGCACAAGGTGGTGTTGGGTCATGGGTTGGACTAGATGATCTCAGAGGTCTTTTCCAACCTAGCTGATTCTGTGATTCCATATGATTCTGTGATGTTGTAATTTCAAAGTCTTCCAGAAGTAGCTGTAATTTCTCAAATGATCAAGCAGCTTAGGAGCTTGGATCCCACTTTCAGAGGCAACAGACACATTGGAGCCTTAGTTCCTTGATTTACAATGCTATAATGCTCTTTGCTACCTAAACCATCCTTATGGATGGAGCTTAAGCTCCTACATCTTTAGAGACTATTACACTAAATCAATCTGTACATGCTTTTCCCTTAGTTGTTGGGAGTCCTGGTAGAAGTTTGGCAGCCTGTCAGAGACACCTGCACCCACGTGTAAGAATGGGTACATTCAACAGGTAATTCGTCTCTCCTGACTGTGTTCTTATGAAGCCATAAATCACATTTTGAGGATGTGTGTCAATCCATTAGCTGAGTCCATATCCCAAACTTCTAGTTTAGACCAAATGTCTTTTCGAGGACTTAAAGTTAAGAAAGAGGAATTTCATTGTCAGTCATTTTCTTCTAATTCTCTGTCACTAAAATCCAGGAATCTTACCTAAACTACTGAGGCTGGTGTCTCTTCATTTATCAACATCTTCCCCTGAATTTGGTTATTTTTTAATGCTTGCTTTCTCTAGATTTAGCGATGGGGACATACAAGAAATGTGATGCATCATGTCCTCTGGGCAGAAACTGACAGTATGTGGCTTTCTTTACCATAAAGAGCAGAAGAAGGAAAAGCCATCTGCAAACCAATCTGCAAACCAAAACAATGCTCAGAAGGGCATGACAATGTGTTTCAGTGATCTCCTGTTTGAATATTGACTTTTGTACTACCTGTGAAAGCACATAAAGCATTTGGAGAATGAGACAGGCATTGATTAGCTTTCCACAGCTCTGCAGGTTCTCTCCACAGCTATTCATCTTGTTTGGCAAGTGATTTGAGAGGGCTGTAGCAGGAACCTTTGGGGCCAGCCTGGCAATATCAAACCTGAACACAGCTGAAAGGTACCAGCAAGAAATGTTGAACTGGACATTTTTGTTCATTGATCTTAAATACCAAGTGGTGTGGGGGAAACTGTAATTTGTGGGAGGCTGTAACTATTTCTTGTTCCTTCCCAGTCACGAGCTCAGAGAGTCCTTGGACATAGAACTCTGGAGTGGCTGTATACTGCTCCATTGATGGTGGTGTAGCAGAAATATGAGGCTCAAATCCCTCATGTTCATGATGGTGTCATCAAACCCTCACACGACAAAGGTTTCAGGGTGTCAGGTGAACAAATCTTTGCCAGGTGAGTAATGCAGCTCACATGTACTTTCCCCTGTTGTGTTCCTGCTGCCTCTCCTCTGCAGATTTCAGTTTCCTTTGAAGGAACACCTGAGCAAACCATGTGGCTACACCTATGCAACTGCATTTACAGCTCAGCATACTGTGACATCTCAGCTACGCTAAAGAAATGGTAGTTCAGGGTGGGTTCACAATCCTCTAAAAGATCCCTGCTGTGGAGGTGACAGTGTCTAGGAGAGGGGTGAGCAGGGTAACTTATAACTGGGATAACTGCTTCTGGCATCTGCTGCTGCACTTGCTTGGATCAAGTAAGACTCCCAAGGAGTCAAAGTTCTCCATATAGGACAGACATGGACATCCAGACATGCACACATATAAACAGCACCCTGCACACCACAAACTATAAACTGCAATTTTAAATGACCCTTTCCCTCACAGAAGCCATCTACCTTATGGCACCACTCAGGATCTCGCCTCAGGAAGTTACTCATGGTGTCTAGGATGATCGCCTCACAAGAGGTTACAAAACATGTCAGAACACAATATATGCTTCAAGTAATTTGTACTCCCTCAAATAAGCTTCACTATCTTGTTTTAGATATGGTCAGAATATACAGTGATATGCTGAGGTGCCTTAGCCCAGAATTTGAAACATACCTGTGAGAAAGTTTATTTGGACCCCTTTCCTACCCTGCAAATTTCTTCCTGCTCTTGTGGTTGTACAACGAACAAAAAGGACAACAGTCTGCAGTTCCACTTAAAAAGTTCAGCTTCAGCACCTGCCATCCCCATGGTGCATGGGGAGGGGTGGGAATCTCATCAGATTTCCAGTTCCTGTCCAGCTCCAGCTGTAACCTTTAAAAAAATGCCTTGAGGTGCAATTAGTTGCTGTACAGTTTGGTTTGGTTTTGTTCTAAGTTGCCTGAGACTTCAGAGTGTAAAAGACTTTCAGACTACAGGGATGCAATAAGAACAAGTTCCTTGACCTTTTATTCTCCTTGTAAATCATTTAACAGAGCAGACTTCTACTGAACTTCTTTAAGACACCGTCTGTTTCAAATCTTGGTACTACGGTTTAAGTATCAATCAGATGACTTAGAATTACTTTACTACAGATCAAGGCTTTAAAGGAAATCTGCAGTATGGCACAGTATCTCTTGTAACCATCAGAATATATTATAAGAACACATTACTGATAGGTTTCTTTGGAGGAGGGGAGATGATGAATCTGTATATGAAATGTACCAGCCACACAGGAATTTACTGCCTTTGTAGGGATGGGTATGCAAAGGCAGACATCAACAGTGAACCCAGGTAGATTTGCTGTGGTGGATACTACTGAAACAATATTTTATAACTGCTCAGTGTCACATATGCTTTCCCTTGGCTGTTCCTATTAACCTTTTTTGCCCAGGTGCTTCCCAGTAATTGAGATTGCTCTGTCATGGTTTCACTGCAGTTAATCTTACATGGTGATGACCATGGAGATACTAAGGATTTATAGAGCTCAGAGCAGGAATCCTGCTGTAACAGAAAAAAAGTAACAAAAGTTACTGGGGATTCCAAGTACCCAGCATAGTCTATTTGTTTTAATAGGAGTCACTAATCTTTCCCATCTTGTACCTTTTTGCATCACTGGGACAAGGACTTAAGATGCTACATTAGGAAGAAATTTGCCCCTCAGCAAAGCTGATCTTTTGCTACAATTACCAAGGGTGATTCTTTATCTAAGGTGATCCTTTACAGCAGTAATCAGATCTGCAGCTACGACTGCTCAAAAAGGAGAATACAGAGATGACCTTTATGCCCCTTTAGCCTTGATTCACTCTTGTTGGGAGAAAAAAAAAGAATTTTGCACTAAAATTAGACTTTTATTGGCCCTCTGTTCAGAGCTGAATTTCCCATCAGGCAATGGATCTCTAGGGAGAGTGTCATATGACACTGATGGCCTGGTTTACCTTTTCTAAATAGGAAAATTTTTATCTGTATTTTAACTTTACCTGCATTTTAATTATCCCTTTGGATAATTGCTACAGAAAAGCAGTATGCCTCATCCTTAGCCATTTCTCCAATCTCTGGGAATGTGAGGTGATACCAAATATTAACATCGATTACTTGTACTGAAGTTCAAAAGTTTGAAGATAGTTCTAAAAGTTATTAAAGAATAATATTAATGTTTTTTACTGAGATAACCAAGATTACATTTGGGTATCTTCAATTTTAAACTGAATTCTTATGAGAAACTCCAGGAAAATTTTAGCTATCAAAATGTTCAAAATTAATCACTCTGACTTCACTGTCTTAACAAGGCAACCGCGCAAGAACTCTAACTAGGCTTTAGATTTTCTTCCATGCAGACTGATGAAAAACATTAATGTTATATTACCACCTTTTCAGATTTGCTGGCACTCATTATGTCTGGGGGAAAAAAAAAAAGATCCTGCTGCTGCTACACACTCCACAATTGCCCAAAGTTTCAACAGGACCAAAGCCTCCAGTCTCTGGTGGTCAGTTTTGGCAGTACTATGCAGACACTTTCTCCCACAGCTTCAGTTGCATTTAGAAAAAACCACTTCTTTGTTCTCTTGCTGAATTTACAATGGTTCCAAAATTTTCACAATAAACAAGTCTGATTTTGGGCACTGTGATGAAACTTGTGTGCCTAAGGTTCTATTGTAGTTTGTTGTCTGTAATGAATATTTGAGAGAAAAAAAAACAAAACAGCATGATACTCTACTACTTTCAAGTTGATGAACAGATGGCAGGGCAGTGAGATTATCAGATTTTAATTCTTCACATTTAATTTGTAGGCTAATGAATATTGAACAACGTTAACTCAAGTAAGATGCAATGAATATACTTAAAGGGAAAGACTGCTTACAGGTATTAAATACAACTAATACAACCACAGATCTCGAAGCTGCAATATTATACATCTAACTAGCATATCTGTCTGTAGAATTTCTCTTTATATATATATATCTATGTGCTTGCAGTATTTGAGAAGTATCAAGTTACGTTTCATATACTGATTAGTGTATTCTGTATGAAGGACTATTATCAATTTACATTGAGTAAACATCTGTATAGAGAGAACTGATAAAAGAAACCTTCCACATTTCCTTTGTCTCAGTAGCCTTTGTACGCATTTATCATTCTGTGAATATAGAAAAGTCGGTCTTCTGAGTTGCAAGTACAATTATCTTATGAAGAACAAAAGACGTTTCACAGCCACCCACTGTTTGCTGGCTGTGATAGCTGGGCACTGCTTGGGTCAGAAAGGAGAAGCAACCAGATTTAAATCATGCTTTTGACATAAGCACGGCCACTAATTTGACTTCGGAGTGTACTGGGGTCAGCGACGAATTAGGTATAAGTCATAATCCCTACCACACTCTTAATATGTGAATTTCTTTCATATGTGTGTAGTATGTTTAATTTAGATGCTACCATGTTCTTCATGCATAGGTTACCCTCAGCAGCCTGGAGCTTTGACTGTCAAAATCAAAGGTGGGGAATGACACAGGCCTTGGTGTTGCTCTCAGCCTCAGCCCTTCTGTGTGAGGCTGGTTCCCCAGAGTGATGCCCTTAACCATTGGCACCTGGCACAGCCATCACCAAGAAATTACTACAGTGATCTGTTTCTGACAGTACATGGACACATCAGGGTTGACTCTGAAAACTTAAAAGGTCTCCTTACACTGAACTAATGTTTCTGCCACCAGCTACACTGAGGTTCTTGAGGCGATTGTCAATATATTGCTTCAGAGAGTCTGGCACAGGGTGAGTTTCGTCAAGGTAGCTTGTCATTTCAGTATACAGTGAGAGTTACTTGTCTGGAAGTTCTTTTAGAGATGATGGACAGAGATGAGCTCCTCCAAGATGTGATTCACTGAACCAAAGAAAAAGTGTTGTAATGCCAAACTGCTTCTCTGCCTGCATTAACTCTCTCCCTATGGCTGTGGAAGAGTCCAGAGAGTTAGTGAAATACAGTTTTTCAGTTGACTAAAGTGAGGTCAGAATTAGGCAGAAAACAGTATCTCTGGGAATTCTGACTGGTTCATTCAC